TAATTGAAGATCAAACTTCTGATAAGAATTCTATAATAAAAAATATATTTTCAGATAATATGATACTTTTGGATCAAAATAGGAAATATATATCTTCTGTGGTATACTTATATTATACGATAAAAATAATAGTTAGAATTTTCTTCGAAAATTATTTATTTAATAGAAATAATTTCTTAATAGTTCAAGAAAATATAATATTTTACCTAAGAAATATTATTTTTATTATTTATTATTATATAAAAGCATTATTTTGTCCTATAAATTCGAAAGAAATTCTTTAAATTAAATATCATTTATCGATTCAATTTTTCAATTTATTCAATATCATATATCTACAAAATAATAAAGAAAAATTTACGAAATCTAAAATTATTCTCATATAAGAAATAATTATAATTACGGCGTTAGATAAGAAATTGAATTTCTTATTCAGATAGCATTCGAATCAGGGTTATAAGTGATAACCGCCGGATTTAGGGCACCCTTAATTTCTTATTTCGTTTATATCTGATATCATCCAGGGTTCAATATGGACAAGAGCTCGGAGCGACTATAAACTATCTTTTGGAGGATAACGAACTTCAAATTATGGATGCTCCGCCGCTTCCGCCTCCCCCTCTAGTGCGCCACCCTGTACAGAAAATATCCCAGAATCCTCCTAGACCAGCCAGGAAATAAGAAATCCAGTCCCCGAAGCTTCCTATTTCCTTTTTGAAGGAAATAGGAAATTCAGTCCCTAAAATTTCTTATTTCTTATATTTGTGGTCCGATCGAAAATCAAGAAAATAAGAAATTCAATCTTTAAAATATCTTATTTCCTGGGTTTTTGATCCGACCGAAAATCAAGGAAATAAGAAATTCAGTTCCCTGAAATATCTTATTTCTTGGGTTTTTGATATAAATCTAAATTAAACCTTCAAGACTCCATCTATAGATTTCGGGCGAATTTATAGGAATCCTAAACCCGTCCAAATGACCGAATATCTCATCTTCGTTTTTACTGTTTGCTTCGGGCGAATTCCGAAATTCTCGCCGATTTGCTGTAGATTTTAACTTAAAATTCTAAATCTCGAAGCTCTGAACATGGATGATTTCTTCCGGGCAATATTTCAGAAATTAGATATGAAATTGTTTTGCATCCAGCCTTTCATTAGATATGAAATTAAATTTCGGAGGTAGAAGATATTGAAATATAAGCCCGCGCAAATTCAGAAATTAGGCTCCTTATTCAATATTTTCTTATGCAGTGCTCACGTTATGATTCCAAAGAAAAAAGAAAGCTATTTATATAATCTATCGAAATCTTGAATATTATTTTTATACCTTTTGAATTTATTAAATATAGAATATTATTAAAAAATAAATATTATCTATATATTTTTTCAAAGAATTCATAAATTATAGAATATCAAATTATTCTATAATTTATGAAATTCTATTGTATAACTATAAATATATATATTTCAAGAGATCGAAAGAATTTTCGAATATATATAATAAGTAAATAAATAAATATATTTATAATTTATAGAATCTCACAGATGCTCAATTCAAATATTCTCGTATTTATATTCTTCTATTCTCGTAGAAAAAAGAATTAATATTATTTCTTTCTATAATTTTCAATTATTTTCTTGAAATCTTCTCTTATATATTAATATCAAATATATATTTCTCCTTCTAGAATTTTTTTAGACGAATTTAATATAAGAAAATGAGAATATATAGAAAAATTGAATATAATCTTTTTTATATTATTTTATAAATATATCTTTTAAATATTTTCTGAATTCATTTCATATCCTATCTTCTATTTTATTAGATATCTCATACGCACGCCCCTCGCCCACCACTCCACGACATTCTCCACGAACATATGCCCCCCACTACAGTACCACTCCACGATATGCAAGCCCTCATCCATCAATCACTCCACAACATTCAGCACGACTCGCACTCCCCAGCCCCGCCACGACACCGCCCTCAAATGCACACGACACTCCCCACGACACACATGCCCTCGCCTCACTCTGCGACACTCCCTTCCGACCCGCTCTCGCCCGCCGACCCATGCGCACTATACACACGCTTCCGCCCGCCATTTCGCCACACTCACGCAGTCGCTCGATAGAAACAAAATGGAATAAGTTTATTCCATACTATATGTAATTGCGACTAGATAATAAGAAATATACTGTTTCCATTAGGTATGATGAATGTAATAATGTCTTACATTAAGAACTTAATGAAACCGAGAATCTAGTCAACACATCAAAATTAATCTTAATACAAACAGTATATATAGGATAGAACACATAATTTTTACAATTCTCGTGTCCATGATATGTTACGGTTTCAAACACACATGTGACTTATTTACATTCGATGAAGAAACATTAAGGTTTCGTCTCTCACTCTCGCACATGCAGGCAAGGCACATATTAAGGTTTAACTTGTCATATTGTAGTTCCTTCTTGCTTTTTTAATGCAGCTTACTTGAAACCTCAGCGGCGCATGGTCTCGCAACGCTTCGGTCTTTGCTTGGGCACCGATCATTCGAGACACCGACAACAGATCCAAATCTGTAAATCTGTACATTCACGATCGGATTGCTTACGCACGCGTGCTACAGCTGAATAGCAGCCCCAGGCTCGAGGGTTAGACAACGACCGTCTTAGTATGATATGTGTTCGTCTGTGCACGTTTGCAAAAAAGTCGAACAAGAATTGAAAAGTGTCGCAGGAGCCAGTGAAAGCTCAACTGCGACTATGCGGATCGGTCTGTATTACATACCATTCCCAGCATGTCTTCGCAAGCGCATCCTCACACCGCGAAGGGCCTTTCGAAGCCCATGCGTGGCTGTCTCCAGCACCGACCCATCAGCCCTCCCAACCCGGCCTCGCCACACTGAATGTGGCTTGTCCTCTTCGGCCAGTCGAAGGTCCAGGGGAGCGGCCAGCCGCACTGCATCATGCTGCTGCTTCATCAGCGCCTAGCATTGTCGAAGCCGGCTGAAGCACCAAGGGCTACTCTGTGCCGGGAACGAACCCATCCCTTTCGTGAGCCTGTGACCGCTCTCGAGGGGCTTATGGCATCCTGAAAGGCGTGGAATGGACCTAATCGTTGCCAGCTTCACAAACAAGAGCCACCAACAGCCGGAACAGTTTTTGGGTTCTGGTCGGGGCTCGGCTTTGCAAGCAGCCTGTCTTGGCTCTCGCCGGTGCTACACCATTCTCAAAAGGGCACTACCGGACCTGCCTCAGCCTCGGAGGACGACTTCTTGCCAAATACTGTACAGCAAATCTTCCGCGCACAGGCGGTGGGCGGGTCATGGCGCTGCTAGCCAAGTGGATGAGGCCTGCTTGTTCCTGGCCAGTCTCTCGGCAGCATCGGGCTGACGTGGCAGTAGAGTAGAGCACTCGGACTTCACACCCTAGCCCAGCTCTATTGCAAGAGCTGTGCTCCTCCTCCCGTACGGGATTCGGCGACGCAGAAGGCGCTTGGCCTCGAAAGTCCACCGTCAAGCATGCTCGTTAAGTTCACCAGGACCTGGGACCTGCCAAAGCTCCATGCAGAGGCACAGGCACTTATTCTGGTCTCCATGAGGTAGGTTGCCACGAACGCGCGGCGGCGAAGCAAATAGCTCCTAAGGCATCACACGCAGACACGTCCCTGCCACTGTCACGGAAGCCGTTGCAATTCTTGGGTTTGGTGCTTTCGCCCGGCGTGACGCACGCCACGACCGGGTCACGGCAGAGTCCTTGCAATTGGTCCGTTACGCAAGTGGACGCTACCGCCAGAGTACACATTTTAAACGCTTTTTCAATCTGTTTCACAAGTAGGCACCGTCGCCGTAGCTACAAAACACGTAGCACAGGGAGGCGATGTTGCCTGTTCCGCAAACAGATGCCGCCAATGGGATCAACAAAAAACATGTATTGCAGGAAAAACGTTTTGTTCGTGAACATGGCTCTTGGCCATCCCGACATGCAACAAAAAGCAGGATTCATACTCTTCAGCTGGAGGCTTCCACTCTGTATCTCGTTCAACCCTTGCACGCGTTGTCCCAAATGCTGCATCAATCTGGCCCCAAACAACCTCAAGGTTTCAATGCTCGGCAGGAAGGTAGACTACCAATGAAGGTCGCTTGAACTGGTGTCGGCATATGCTCTGTTTGTTGCATTAGCGATGCGGCAATTCGACTCTGCATATGATCAATTGCCAAGAGAGACTGAAACGCATGACGACCTGCTTTTCCGTGACGAGGACGTGGTGACAGGCTCTGGAATCCTCTCGTCCTACAAGTGATACTCTTGCCGAATGTCTCTCGGCTGCAAACTTGCACCGGAGAAAAGGCAAGCATCTGACTTTCAACAGCCATAAGCTGTTCGCAACTAAGCTTGGTGCGGAGTGAAAGTCCGGAACTGGGCGTGCGAATCCAGTGTCAGGCAAGTCACTGCCTTGGCAGAGGCTGAGAAACTAGCACCCATAACCGCGACAACTTAAGTTTGGAAACAAGCCCTGCGCTGGCACCTAGGTATAACATCGGATAATTAGGATTGTGGCATAGCCCAAGTCCTCTCCCACACGCTGGATTTCTTTGCGGAGCCTGACAACAGCACTTGCCTGGACGTCCCGCGACTTTTGCCAGGTAAGCCTGCCTAGTGATGTCCACGGCCGTGGTATCAAAGCGGATGCGAACGCGATTCTCAGCCTTGGAAAGTCAAGATGGTGGGCGCAAGGGAAGCAGGCAGCAAAGGCTTGGCGTATTTTGACGATCGCAGACATTTGTGCACCTTGGACTTAGTTCAGCACCAACGGGCCGCCTGTGGGGCACGGGACGAAATCGCACTTCCCGCTGTCAGCACCTTTGAAACTTCGAGCACTTCGGCTTCCGACGCGGAACGCAGCCATCCCTTCCTCAAACGTGTCTGAGCCATGTGCTGCCACTCTGGACATGCAGATTAGACCTCAAGCAGCGTTGCTACAAAGGCCGTTTGAGATACATGTGATGGCCCATGCTGTCGCGATTGAACACGCAATCACCTCCATAAGCTGCGTGCACACTGACCCCAAATTGAGTCAGGATTTCCTCAGGTGACTGCGCAGTGTCAAAGATTGGGATATTCCGCTATTCGCCTTGCTTTGTGCAGCTTGGTGGCAGTAATTTTGGCCAGTTGCCCGGACCTATCGACGCCAAACCTGACATCAGGGATTGCCGAAAACACCGGGGTCTGCACGCAAAAGATTCAAGCCGAGCGCCATACAGATGCAATGTGCCGTTCTGCTGATGGCTGCCGAGCTCCGTCAGACAACGTTCTGCAAGTGCCAAAAAGTGCCAAAAAGGATACACTCTCCCCAAGATCAAAAACAAGCAGAGCAACGATATCTGCCAAGCTGTGGCATCCAGTCTTCTACGCTCCCCAAACTTCCCGCAAGCTCGGAGCCGCCGATGCCCAGCCTATCGATGATCTTTTCGGTTCCGCAGAACTTAGGCTGGCCTCGGCGAACAAATAGCTCTTGCTTTGCCACTGCATAGCTGACTGAGTGATGCTATGGGTGATAGGGGCATCCCCCTGGAGGGATGGTGGATAGGGAGGTTGGGAACAAGTCGCACGCTTCTCTGATCAGGTCGGGCCAAGTATCGCTGCAGATGTGAATTCTCTTCTTCACCCACTGCAGCATGTCAGGAATTACAATATACCACATCTAGGCAAGAGAGTCAGAGATGGTTGACTGGGGGATGATCCAAGCCGAGAAGGGCTGTGGTACCCCTTATCCTCCCACATAATCATCGGGATTTCTTCACCGCTACTGTTTGATCGTGTGCGTCTATTGGAAGTTCGTCGCAGGTTGACGGTGTGTGTGTGTGTGTGTGTGTGCGTGTGTGTGTGTGTGTGTGTGTGTGTGTGTGGGCATGATGCTTGTGGAAAGCGCGGCGCACCCCCCGGATGTGCATTTCTGCGTGGTTGTGGTTAGGTGAATGAACACTCGAGCTGCGAAGTCGTATGAAGTCGTGGTGTGTTTCAGTCCTCCGCGAAGTCAGTCTCGGCCAAACCATGGATTCACAACTACTTCATGTGCCCATCCCGACCGGGACTGCAGGGCTGCAGGGTATCGAAAAGGTTGGGCAGCTGTGTGAACCCGGGGAATGGAGGCCCGGTTAGACGCAAACACAGACCCAGCTGTGGCCAGGGCTCTGACCGTGTAAACTTGAGCAGGGCTCTCAGTCTGCAACAGCTTCATCAATGTCTGCACACGGTCCGCTGGAAGGATTGCCTGAGCAAGTCCAATGTCTACGGCAACGCCTCCAACTTCACGTACGGGGGCTCCAACACAGCAATCTGCAAACTTGTCCGCTCTGTGCCTTGACGAACATGGTGCAGCCCAGATGGGTATCATCTGTGGTCTCTTCCTGTGAATGCGCTGGTGCGTACAACGACGCTTTGACAGGGACAGTCGAGGCCAAAGCAGTGAAGACTGCGGGGGAGATGCAGGCTCCGAAGGCACTGACCTTCAATCAACGTGAAGAATATAGCAAGGTGCGTTGTGAGGCCATCCTCCTCAAGGGCTGGCTCTAGAACGGTCACCGAGGAGCAAACTGAAAAGCTTTGCACCTGCCATACTGTACAAGAAGCTACATGTTGCACGTTGCTGCGCTGCAGGCGTCTTGAAACGCTCTTCTCTATCTTCTTGAGTTCGGTTGTGTCCGACACACAAAATCCATTTAGTGTAGACAGGTCCGCAGAATCATTCTCGACAAGAACTGACGAAGTCTGGATGTTGACGACAAATTCACACATCGCAACAGGCCTGCCAGTGGCTTAGTTGACAAGGCACCCCAATACCACGTAAGCTCTTACCGGCCTGCTCGGCATCAGGATCTCCCTCATTCTGCATCTGCACGAAAGTGCCTCCGCAGGTCTCGATGTTGGCCCCGGCGGTGCTCATGACCTGAGTCATCTCTTGCTGTACAACCACAGAAAGGAAGGCCTCCCTCCCTCTGGCTTCGAAGGGGGCAGCATCTGGCCAAAGCTTTGAAACCATCACTTGAGCGTGCTGCTTTCGCCAGGCGGTTCCAAAGCTCACTGCCGTCCAATGCCAGGACCTGCTGCCAGCCAAATGCACGCCAATAATCAAAGCTTGATGAAAATCACGACGCGACTGACAGACCATCCCCGGCTTGCAAAGAAGAAGAAACCAGAACCACACTTGGCCGCGCGGACACAGTTTGCTCTGCAACCAGGCTGTGTCACCTTGCCCGAGAAAGTGAGGATAACTCTCTTCTTCTCCTGGCCACATGCGAAGAACTCGTGTCCCCGAAGAAGCGCCGCAGTCCGACTCAGGCCCAGGCCTGCACCTCTGCAGCGACCGCTGCGGAGCCTTTGGGCGCCTGGGAAGCGTAACCTGGAAGAGGAACTGCGGAGCATGGCAGCAGCATGTTGACAAGAACTCGCACGCCTGGAAACATGCATCATGCCAGAATCCGAGATGTCACTCTCTACTGCCGCTCTGTAGCAACGCACGTTCGAAGCAAAGGCCCGTGCATTGTCGAAGAACCCGAAGGCGAGGCCGCAAGGCGAAAGCCGAGAGGCAGCACCGCCGTGGAAACCACATCAACGCTCAGTTGGCCATGGCCATGATCGGATGAAGAAACTGCTCACGGCTAGCGGCAGCTCTGAGCAGCTCTGTGCATCGCTGCATAATGTGCCCGCAATGTTCGAATGCTGCTACCCGGCGGACCATTCGACCATGATCATGCTCCAGCTGCCAGTTATTTCAATGAAATGCTAACGCTCGCACCCCTAGTGGTTCCCACGAGTACAGGCTCACAAAGTGCAGAAGGCCGCTCACCGACCGGCTCAAGATCCAACGCCTACTGTTCACTATAACACTTGCTTCATCATGCTATTAGCTGCAGTTTGAGCCTGAACATGAGGATGGGGCAGCGCACAGTGGTGTCACACTTCCGTTTCCTTATCCTTCGAGCTCATGTGCCATGTGCGACATGGTACCAGCCTGTGTGACAGCGGCAGCGGCTTCGCGCAAAGCAGTTTCCCTGGACACTGGAAGCCGTGGACATGTTGCGAGCAAATGCCCAGCAAAGGCTGACACTGGCAGAAACACTTAGGGTTGCAGCCGATTCTTCCGCATTGATAGGAAGACTGACGGCTCGTTGAAATTAGACGGCCACTGTGGCTGCATACTACTAGCTTCCCCTGCTCTCTACAGTAGACTGTCCAGAAATGCCTGGAATGAGAACATAGGCTCCTCTCCTCTCGGGTGTTCCGCAAAGTCAAGCCGCGAATCGCCACGGTAAGGTCGCAGCTCGGCGGAGCTGAGGACACGAGAGTTGTGGCTCTCCTGGACTGTGTCTCTTCGAAACTAACTGAGGACTCTACAGCTCTGTCAAACGAGAATCATGTACGACGGAAGATTGTTGGGGAAGCAAGTCATCCACCTCGTTCCCCTCGGGATCTCTCTCCACGGGCCTCATTTATCGCTCGGTGATTGCTACAGCACTGCAGAACCGAAAAGCATGTCAAGCCTTTTGCTGAACTTTTGCTATGCTGAGCTCTGAGCTTTCCAAGCCATGACCTTGCAGTCAGTGTGGCTCTCTGCTTTTTCCGTGCCTAGACCTCCTCTTCCCCTTGCGGGGCCCCGTCCTGGTGTGCTCCGTTGGGCGTTGGGGTCAAAGCTCCCCGCAAACCCAAGCCAGCAGTGCAGCCATTTACAAGCTGGCTTTGCCCGTCACCCACAAGCCGCCTGATGGCTCGGCACCTGCTGGGTTTCCTTTGGTTTCCGTCACCAGCCTGGGGTTCCTGCCGATCACTCAATGCCATCGTTCGGGCCTATCCCCTTCTGTAGAGACTGGTCGCATGCTCTCAGGGTCATGATCTATGCAATGTTCTCCGTCAACAACACCTGTGCCTCTCTCGCTCTCTCCGCGTCTTGCTCCACTGCACGGGGCTGTTCAGTACTCGCAGATGGTGGCTTCAAGATGAGGCTCCGGCACACGTGTCTCCGGGAAATATCCGTGGCGTTCTGGAGATCCGACAACACGACCTTTTCGGGTTGGGCAAGGAAGGACCATATATGAAGTCCTAGCAGCCGGGCCCATGTGCTGAGGATTTACCACGGTTGTGTCTTTCACACTCGTGAGGCTTCGGCCATACACCCAGCCACCGCCACTTGCTGCAACCTTATTCGTGGCATCCCTCAGATTTCTAATAAGCACTGCAGCATTAACATCCCAGCCTCCACCACATCGCCCTGCCAGGTTGCAGCCACTCACATCATTGAACATTTTCTGGCAGTGCCGATTTCACAGGGACTCTTGACGCACCTCTGCTAGCGCAAGGCAACTTTCAGCGAATGCCACCTCCGAGCTTAAGCGTCAATGGCGTGTAGTTTCAAACACCGTGGTGTAGGGCCAGCAAGGGCGCTAGCACATGCCGTGGAGAATTCCAGCTGCAACTCTCACCAGCATGCTCTAGTTCTAACAAAGAGTATTCCATAGTATTCCATTGCCACTGGCGTGCTCAGCAAACTTGCCACAGCCCTGGTGGGGAAGGAACCATTAAACGATCTCAAGGCCGTTTCCCTTTCTCAGCCTACAGTGCAAAATTGGTGCTGCTATGTGAGGGAGCGGCTGGCGGAAATGCCAGAGTTGGCGATTGTGAAATTGTTGGGAAGTGAGCCTCTTCCTCCTTGTCGCCAGGACCTGCCAAGCAACGGGGCTTCCAAGCCGAGCTATAGCCGCTTCGATTGCCGTCCGGCTGGGCTCGGAGCTGCCCGGCGAGTAGTTCTCCACGACCTTCACGAGCCTCAGTAAGCCGCAAGCGGCGGAACCCACATCCACTCATCCACTTGCACTGACACTGAGATCCAGGCACACCACGGTCAGTCCTGAGAGAGTAAACGCCCAGAGCACTCGGTTAGACTGCTAGAAGGACATCATAGTGCAAAGGTTCCGGATGCGCCGCCTGAAGAAAAGATTTCCATACTGTAGGAGCCTATGCGCGACAGTTCATACAACACGCCAGTGCAAGCCAGTTTCTTCGCTGCTTCACCATTCTCCTCGCAAGTTCCTTATCACACGGTATGATGGTGGCCGTCACATGTTGCGTGGGTGCCTGGCGCAACACAAACATGCACATAGTCATGGCTGCGACGACTGGCTCCGACGCGTCTGCCATCCCTCTGGTGGTCTGCTGAGGGTGCTGAGGAGTGCACCGAGCCAAGTTGCTCGGTTCTCTGGAAAGTAGCCTGCTCGCTCTGGATGCCCTGCCACCTGCTTGAAACTCCGGCACAGACGGGCAGGGAAGTTGAAGTTCTCGCTGCGAGTTCGAAGGTTGCAGTGAGCAACCCTCTGATTGTCCGGGCGACCACGAAGTGTTCACAATGGCTTCTGTATCGACGAACCAGTGCTGAAAGGAGCAGCCTGGCCGTAGAGCCAGCCGGAGCCACCAGCCAAGACCTGCTGCATGTGGCAATCTGAAGCAACGCAGGAAGCTGCAAGCTCAACGCCTGCGACAAGCCTGCACACTACACCCCGGGCTCCAAAGCCCCGTGCTGAAGCTCTGCAATCCCGCCTCAACCATTTCACCTGCTTCGAGGTGCAGGCCTGAAGCGCCGTTCGTTTGTGAAAAGGAATGAGTTCAAAAATGCTTGACCCATGCCAGCACCATGAAATGCTCTATTTCGTGCGTCCTTCAGAGAGCCGTAAAATGAGATGTTGATCTGTCTGACTATTCTGTGTATTTGTCGGTCTTTGTCTCGCTCCCCATCCACCCACGTGTACCATCAAGCCTGACTGTGCATCAGTCTTCATTGCCACAATGCTGGTATAGACAGCAGAAGGCAGCTGTAAGTTGCGCGCAGTTCTCCCGCAAGTTCTCGCACTCAGCGACGTCTTCCGGGGTGAACCTCATGAGACAAACTTGGAAGGTTCAAGTGCAGGTCATGACGCCTGACCGACATCTCACAAGAAGGTGGCCAGCGTCCTTCATTGCACTGCTCGGTAGTCTGGAATCTTGATTTCGTTACCGTAACGGCCGTAACAGGTGGCTGGGAATTGGATTCAAATGGAGCCCCATGCCATTATCCATCGAGGAACACGTCACTACGGCCCATCCATTCTGAAGAGTCATAAGCCCCAGGCCCATGATCCACGAAAACCAAAGCATGCTGGTCTGCGCAAGCGACCTACACCAGTTGCAGGCATTTCTGAGAAATTGTGTGGGCTGTTGAATGATTTGGGTTTTTTTACTGAAGGGCTGTCGCTGCTCAAGCCTCCGCGCGAGGAATCTTGCCGATCCATGACCTCGATAGCTCAGTGAGTTGGCAAAGCTACCAAGTTGGGTCTGCTTCTGCAACAATCAATGGCAACGGGCCCGTTGCACTGAGCAGTCTTTTCGCAGTGTTTCGCAGGTTTCTCAAAGGTTTCTCAGCGCATGCCGGGCGGGTATCTTTCGCTTTACATTGTGTCCTCAGCATGTCAGTATGCAGCAAGCTCGCGCCAGAAACAAGATAGCTGTTCTGCAATCAAACGGACATTTGCGACATGCCTGCTGTCAGTAGCATTCTTGTGGCTGCTAGGCTTGTAGCGCCAGCTGGCGTCCCATCAGAGACGCTCCCTGCAACAACTACGAAACAGCTCATCCACTTCTTGGAGCTTGTTGCTCCGGTCAATGCCCAAGACAAGAACAGACGTCTCAAATCATCGGGGCATCAGGCTGCAAAGCCCGAGAGCCGCACGCAAATCTTTCAAACCACGTCCCATACAGACGAGCGACTGAACCAGCAATATCATTGCTGTGCACACACTTAGCAAGCCCTGCTGGTGTTGTATATGCTGGAAATCATTCTCAAGCTACACTTGCCTTCAGTTGCTGGAGCATCGCACAGGCATTGAACATCCTTTTGGAGACATGACCCGGATTGTGATTGGCCCGGATGGCCAAGTCAAAGTCTGTACGTAGCAACTTTGCAGCCTACCGCCGGAGGAATGTCCGCTCTGGTTTAACAGAGCTGGGATCCTCAAGCGGCCTGTGGTGAGGATGACACCTTGACTCTTGACTGAGGATGCAACTCTGTTCGTGGATTCTGTGGCACAGCATTCGACACCCCCGAATGACAGGTAGCATCGGAATCAAATCACAGGCCGATGTCAGCATGAAGTGCTGGGGGGCAATCTGTGGCTAAGCACTTCAAAAAGTCACAGAGGTTCCTGGGTGCTGACTCCTTCGACCGCACAAATGAAAGTCACCTGAAAGACCGGAGCCGGAGCAGCGTGTCGGGGCGACTCTGCGCACGCGTGGCTCCAGGAGCCTCCCTGTTCACATTTCTCTGGACCGGGAACAGTCGAAATATTTGGCTGGGAACCCTTCTGTTTGTAAGCAACCGTGTGACGAGCCATCGGAGATCACCAACGTGTACGTGCCCGGATAACAGGTGATTTACGTTGACTTACATCTCCCAGTACCCCTGCTCCCGGAAAGTTCATGCAAGTCTTGCATCTGTGTCCTGGGTGCTCCAAGAAGCCAAGACACCGGGGTGCTACACAACCACAGGACTACTTCTGGGCTTCTACCAACCACGTTACACCCTGCACAGTTGAAAGTCTAATTATACAATCGAGACGCTTCTATCGAGGAAGGGCCGCAGTGATGAAGCATACCCGGCATGGCCCACTCTTGAAAGCTAGTCTCCAGCCGATGCAACCATCACCCAAGCACGACCTCTTCTTCACTGGAGCCCTTCTGTACATGTTATCTTTGCACGGCCTTCTAGCCAAAGATGGATCAAGCATGCGTGGTGCACGCCCTCCACCTACACTCACTTTCCAAGGATGAGCTTGGAGACGTCCTGCAAAGGCATACTTGGCGTGACAAATGGAGCTTCTCATTGGCCCTGAAAGCTTTGCATGCTTGAAGGGTCTCGCATGGCTCCGCCTGTCAGCACCAGACCTGTGTGCTTCATCTTGCAGATTTGACGCACCCCTACTCTGAGGCCTGGATGATCTTGGAAGGGCGCCTGGCACGGTTAAAGCGTGTGCCGCAGCATCTCGGTGCCCTACCTCTTGCTTGCTGCTCTCAGAATTGGGGTCGTCAGCTGCACAGCACAACCCTGACTCAAGAGACCAAAGCGGACGCAACGGCACGGTCAGGGTTTGCCAGAGTGGATTTTTGGGAAGTCTGGGAGCAGCGCATGCGTTGAATATGTGACCGTCAACATACATGTAGAAATGGGCTGTGCCTGCTCTGCCACTATGACCCCAGTAGGAAACCGGTGGAGAAATACAGGTGTCCCTTTGGGTAGCCCTGCTTCTGCTCCAATGCGCGGTGCCTTCCCAATGAGTCACGGCGCCTCTTGTCCTCAAGTTCGTCAACAACGGCCTGCGTCGGCTTCTGAAGCCCGGGCGAACTTGATGTTCTCAGCCCATACATTATCCTGCCGAGGCACAGTCTCGATCTTGGAAGGTCGCCGTCTCCATCCACGAGAGTCCGATTCTTCCTTTGATCGATTTGCGGCATCTCGTCGCATGCATCAAGCAATGCAGGTTACAGGGCCTCTTGTCACGTGTGCCACATCCCATTGACAGATCTAGACGGAGTGTGGCCTGGGTGTCAACATCTGGAGCGATGGCCTCACGCCAATGCCCTGGCATTCACAGCTTCAGCTCTGGGTTTCAACACAAAGCTTCCTGGCAATGCTGTTGCTCAACCGTGGCAAGACGGATGCATGCACCGTGCGCTGGTATTAAACAGAAGAAGATTCTGGCACAACCCTGAATGCACCTGCAGCAGGTTCCTTCTTCGGGTCGTAGTCCATCATGTCAAAAGGAAGGGCATCGCGGTAGTTCACTCCGAGTAGAGTGCCTGGCATGCTCGTTGCTACAGGGACAGCATAGTCACGCTCAACAACACCGTTTCTTTGTCGTCCACAGCTCCGGGCACATTGCAGAAACCTCTTCTGCCTGGAAGTTGCTCTAAGCCTCTAAGCTGCAGCCATGTCACCGGCAACCATGGCTGAGAGGAAACTTCTGCACTTGGTAGAGCCGTGATCACTCCAAGGGCTCGAGCCAATCACAATCTTGTACCACAATCCCAGGCCCAGCCCACCTCGTGATTGTCTAGCCTGCATATCCATGCCCGCCTGCATCTTAGAGACTTGCTGAGGAACTGGCACTCGGTTTTCAGGGAAGTAGCCCATGCGAGTGATGTCTCCACTGCCTCACACATTGGTTGTTTGCTGTTCTGTGCTTCGGTACAGGCGGAGGTTGATGATCTAGATGGCCAGCCTGAAATGACACGCCCATAGAACCATCCACCGCCGCCTTGCAGAAGGCGATGCGAATGCACGGGCCATTGACAAGCCAAACGTTTGCATCACGAAAGAACACAGGCTCTAAGTTACAAATCAGTGTCAAAGTCAACCCTCACGGAGCACCAGTTCCCAAGGACAGGACAGCGGTGCAGCACAAACGGACTCAAAATATGCCCTGCCTGCAATAACTTCTACGATGTCTCCTTCGGAGAGATCGAGGCAGCTTTCTCGGAAAACCTTTCCGCAAAGGCAGGCGCTGCAAACCCAGTGTAATTTGTGGTCCTCTTCTTCAAAACTGTGCCTTCGCTGCACGAGAAGATGTCACTGGGCCGTGGTGAGCTCTAGCTGACTCTAGCTATAGTATACTAGAAACGCAGCATGTCCCTTTACGAGTGGATACATATGTACTCCTGTTGTGAACCTGGTCTCACATAACCATCTTTCGAATCTCCAGTATTTAGTCCGAAGATCTTCCCGTCGCTGGCAGGCTGCATGCGCGCATTCATACTGAAAGCGAAAAAATGCCTTGTCGTCTTCCACGTCCGCAGGTGCAAAAGCGCACGCCACATGTGCCAGAACCTTGTCGGCTTCAAGGGTTCACTGCGAGCCAGAGAGAGAGAGAGAGACAGAGAGAGTCTGTCTGCTTGATGGCTCAGTGGACAGACTGTCCTCGAGCAGATGCAGAGTTTTGCTCAGTTGGGCCGCTTCAAACTGGGGGAGCACCCATGGCTGGAAAGAGCAATGCGAAAGCTCAGCTACGAACCCTGTCTACATCTGGACTTTGTGCTACTTTGTGCTCTTCCTCTGAATCCGCCACGACCTGCCGGGATTCATGCGCGCGTTCATCGTACTACTCGCTCGCGAACCCAAGCAGAAAACAGAACGCATTGACTGCCGGTACCTTGAGTCGGGCTCGGCGGGCTTTGGCCTCAGTGCTCACGGCAGTTATGATGCATGTTCGCGAGTCTGACCTTTCTAGGTCTAGATCCAGTCAAAAAGGGAGAAGCTAGAAGCCCAGAAATGATTACAAGCTCTGACTTGCAAACGGCGATAGCTTCGCTGTTGACTGTGAAGGCAGCTGCCCTGTCATTAGATGCAGGAATCGGGCTTTCGGGAAGAACCGCCAAGAAACGCGGCGTCTATCTGGAGTCTGGAGAGCTAAATGCCTTGAGTGCCGTGCCCATGCGCTCACAGCAAGTGTCGAAGCGAGGACCAGGACAACGGCAAGGATCCTGAGCAGAGCAAGGCGTTGGTCACCCATCGGTCATTCGGGCAGCTGAGATCGGAGCAGGAAAACAACGAACACAGACTGATCGTCCGTCTCGGGCTCGTCGACAGTTTGCCCTCAGAAGGGCGCAGAATCTGGAATGCCATGTCAAGCAACAAGTACTTGGGTGACCGTCCGCATGTGCACGAGCATGGCAACACCTCACTTTAAGTCCCGTGCCTCCTGTCCAAGGTCCAGGCTGTGTATCCTTCGTGGTCAGGCATTATGCAAGGCAAGTCTGGCAGATCCTTTCGTCTGGGTTCCTCAAGCTTGCTGGTGTTCTCTGCTGTGCTCCCGGCGTTGCCCGTTCCAGAACCTCGGTGAAAGCATATGGGCTTCTTCCGTTCAACTGTTCGGGTCTCGTGAAACCAAGAGCATGCATCAGGGACTGTGTTTGAGGATCGGAAACGCTCGAATCATTGCCGTGTTAACCTTTGCTATGATATCGTGGTCATCAAGGTTCTTCTTGCCTCTCTTTCGATTACTTGTCTTCGTACTAGGCTTAGCCGCAACATTACCATAACTGCTCATGTTGTATACTGATGACGACCCTGGTCTCGTTAAATTGGTTTTCGTAATGGCATAACAGCAGTACAACAGCAGCAGCATCAGCAGCTGCAGCAGCAGCGAACGTGACAGGACCAAGAGAGGGACTAAAGAACAATAGTGCCGATCGTCACAACAAGAACATGGAAGTCGCAGGAGTTGCGACGTGAAGCTGCTTGGGCTCCGGCTTCCGCTCCTCGCGTCCGTTAGATTCACAAACTCCAAGACGGACAGCGTAGCCCCGGTTCCGGCCTGACATGCTGTGGCAGCGGCTAGAACGAAGTGCACAGTGTGTACATGTAGTGGTTGAGTATAAAATTGTGGAAATGCAGTAAAAGCAACTAAACCCCGTATAGTTAACACCATACATAAGCACGCACACGCGGAGACATATATATATATATATATATATATATATATATATGCTACCCCCCCCTCCAGAATCCGCGCATCCACTGTTTGTAGCACCCAGGTGTTGTGTTTAGGCATTCGATTTCGCATTACTGGGACCGACATGACGCCT